GTAAAACACATAAAAGACTGTAGTTCCTATCTTTATATAACAATTCTAATGCCTGCAAAAAATTATTACGGGTTTTGCTTTACGTTACTTGTCAAATAATTTATCAATTTACTTTGTTAGTAAGAAGGTGATTAATAATAGTCGTACCTTTATTTGTAGTGCTTGATTCTCCATATATCTAAAGTAACCCTTCTGGTACATCATGTCGACTGTTACATTTTTATCTTTTGCGATGTAAAAATCTTTCTTTTGCGTAATTTTCGGGTCAAAAGGTCTCAACCAATTACCCTGCAATTTAATAATAATATAAAATTACAACTAACCTCAAAAACTTACTTTTATCAATTTTCTTTAAGAGTGTTACTTTTTTCAGTGCCATCCTCAATCAGGAATGGTGACCACTGGTGCACATTATTTACTTACCTTGAAGTAAATAGCATTTACCAAAACCAATCGTGTCAATTCGCTCAACAAACTTTCGTCGACAAGATTTGGTATTAGACCATTTGTTTGGGCACTGACCTGAAATTTATTATTAATATTTTAGAGGTCGTTGTTTGTTACAATGGTGATTTTGTTTTCTAAATTGGACACAGTTGTCTCTGTAAGTCGTACATACCCAATCGTTAATAGCTTTTGCTGCTGCCGCCCTCTGACTGAAGTCTAAATTTTCTGCTTTAGCATCAAAGTACACTTCTGTGTCTCGTTTGAATGCATCACTCAATTCAAATTGTTTATTGGCATATATTTTTTGGGCTAAATTCAATGTTACATTCTTAGGTAATTTGAAATTATCCAAAAGTCTTCTCATCCCTTGACGAATCTGTTAAAAAGATTCTATTAATTTGTAAGAAATGATTTTAATAGTAATTTCAATTATGTTTTGTAATGAACTATCAAATACCTCATCCTTATTAGTGACATTCAGTACATTTGTTATTTGCGCAAATGACTTCCCAATTGTGTATAATGCAAGTTCTGCTAGTGGTATCAGCACGGAAAATGGTGATGCTATGAAACTTTCTTTAGGATTTTCATTTGTTTTGAACTGTAAATTAATAAATTCTTATTTAAACATCATATTTCATAGCAGTAGTAATAATAATAAAATCTATGGTCTCCGCAACTCACAATTTGTTGCTCACTTTCAATACTACATCATCTTATCTGAATTTGACACGAGATTTTTTTATAAACTAAGTACTTAACCAACTTACTCA